TTCTCTGGGTCAGCAAGGTATTTTTCTACTCCGTAATTACTGTCTTTTCCTATGGCTCCTTTTCTTCTTCTGGAGACAGAACAATTTGGTATCAGAGCTACTGGTATTTTTCTAATTATTTCCATCCTTTTGTATTTGCTGTGTGCTTTGAAATATTTTTTCCACTCGTTCATCCAAGCCACTGATTTGAGTCTTCCAGTGACCATTTGGTCTTTCAACACATACACTGTTTGTCATTGCTGCTGCTCAAAATAGCCATTTTATTATTGTATTTCCAGAAAGTGATGGAGTTTGGGATCTTGGACTTGGTTTTGTTTTTGTACAAAACTTGGATATATTTAAATAGTCCTGATTGCTTTTTTTCTTTTTTTTCAAGACAGGGTTTCTCTGTGTAGCCCTGCTATCCTGGAACTCGCTCTTGTAGACCAGGCTGGCCTAGAACTCAGAGATCCATCTGCCTCTCAAGTGCTGGGATAAAAGGCGTGTACCACCACCACCCGGCCTTGTTTCCAATCTTAAGGTAACACAGACTTTCAAATTAAGTGTGATATCAGAAGTCACAATAAACAAGGGACTGGAGAAATGGCTCAGTGGTCCTGAGGACCATTCTCAGCAACCACATGGTGCTCACAACCATCTATAGTGGGATCTGATGCACTCTTCTGGCATAATAAAATAAATAAGTTGGGGGCTAGAGAAATGGCTCAGAGGTTAAGAGCACTGATTGTTCTTCCAGAGGTCCTGAGTTCAATTACCAGCAACCACATGATGGCTCACGACCATCTGTAATGAGATCTGGTGCCCTCTTCTGGCCTGCGGGCATACATGCAGACAGAACACTGTAAACAAAATAGATAAATAAATAAGTAAGTCAATGAACACAAAGCAATAAAGAGACACGGTGAAAACAAGGCTGTTTTTTGGAAAACAACTGCATTGATCAGAGTGCATGAAAGACACTGTCCAGCTGCAGGAGGAAACTTACAGGAACTGGCTGACAAGTACAAAGGCCAAGAATTCCGTAATACCTAACCTGTGACTTAAAAGACCAGGAAGGGCAGTCTAGGTTCAAGGGCAGGGGAACAGGTGGTGTGTCTCGCAGCCTGAGGTCAAAGGCCTCAGACCAGGAGTCAGAAGAAGATGCTCCAGATCAAGGACTGGGTGATGCACACCCACACGGGAGAGACTCCTGATTCAAATGCTAACTATTTAGAAACCCCCTCAGAAATACCAGCCATCTAGACATCCCTCAGCCCAAGCAAGCTGCCACGTAAAATTAACCACGGCAACACTAAACCTCTAATAACAATGGCAGGAAAAAGAGAGAAAACAGCCTGGTCTACAAGAACTATCAGTTATGAAGGTAACGAGAAACTGCAAAACCTACAGACGCTGAAAGGCGGTAAAGACACAAGTCTATGCTGGAAAGTCCCAGTCTAGTTGAGGAAGCCAGATTTTTTTTTTTAAAGATTTATTTATTATGTATACAGTATTGTGTCTGCAGGCCAGAAGAGGGCACCAGATCCCATCACAGATGGCTGTGAGCCACCATGTGGTCTCTGGGAAGTGAACCCAGGACCTTCGGAAGAGCAGGCGGTACTCTTAACCACTGAGCCACCTCTCCAGCCCAGCCAGATTTCTTTTTACCTTTTCATAATATTGTCTATTTCGTGTATGTGTGGGGGTGTGGATAAGTGCACATCAAAGGACACCTTGTGGGAATGGGGTCCATCCTCCACCTGTGCATCCCGGGTCATCAGACGTGGCAGCAAACGCCTTTGCAGCTGAGCCATCTGACTGGCCTGAAAAATTTACTTTTTTGAGCCAGGGTCTCACTATTTGGCCTTGGCTAGCTTAGAACTAGCTAGCCATGTAGACCAGGCTAGCCAAGAATCCATAGAGATCCACCTCCCTCTGCCTCCTGAGTGTTGGAATTTAAAGTATGTGCAATGATGCCCAGTATCAATACATTTCTTGAAAAAACAAAAACTACCAGTTAATAAAGACAAAATCATCTCAATAGCCTTTATCAATTAACTAAGTGGAATTTTTTTTTCTTTTGAGAAAGGATCTCACTATGTAGCCCTGACTGAAGTGGAACTCACTATGTAGGCCAGGCTGGCCTTGAACTCAGAGATCCCCCTGCCTCTGCCTCCTGTGTGCTTGGTAGAAGTATAAGCCATCATGCTTGGTTTCCAGAAAGAAAAATTCTGTGTATTCATGTACACATGCACACACACACACAGAGTTTTAAATTACATTTATTGTGTGTGCACAAATACATACGTGTGTGCATGTGTACATGTGAACATCATGCCATGGGATCCAAGTAAGGCCAGTGAACAACTGGCAGGAGTCAGTTCTCCCCTTCAGCCATGGAGTCGCTAAGACTCGCGCTCAGGTCACTGGGCTTGGCCTTATCTTTATCTCCACAGCCCAGCAGCTGACTATAATGGATATAATTTTTTTTAAATATTTATTTATTATGTATACAATATTCTGTCTGTGTGTATGCCTGCAGGCCAGAAGAGGGCACCAGACCCCATTACAGATGGTTGTGAGCCACCATGTGGTTGCTGGGAATTGAACTCAGGACCTTTGGAAGAGCAGGCAATGCTCTTAACCTCTGAGCCATCTCTCCAGCCCCTATTTTTTTTTTATTTTTTGTTTTTTCAAGACAGGGTTTCTCTGTGGCTTTGGAGCCTGTCCTGGAACTAGCTCTGTAGACCAGGCTGGTCTCGAACTCACAGAGATCCGCCTGCCTCTGCCTCCCGAGTGCTGGGATTAAAGGCGTGCTTATAACGGATATTATAGTAAGAAAATGCCAAAAACAAGCTCTAAATGATGGTGTGCAGCCTGTAATCCAGCACTCGGGCGGCAGAGGCAGGGGGACCACTCTGAGTCTGAGGCAACCTGGTCTACACAGCCCTGCCTAAAATATTTTTAAACAAATACATAAAATAACTTAATGTGTGATCTAATTTTGTTGGTAGCAGAAGACGTGCGAAAAACATACTCTAGGAATATTGTCAAATTGGGGCCATCAGGCTAAATCCCGCAGAAAATTCCAGACTAGAGATCTGTCATCATGTTCTAGCTCAGCTCAGAGGCCCAGTCAGCTCTACCACAATCTCTGTTGCCCTGAGACATGAGGGTGGCCGAGAGGACCATGGGAGAATGCAGCATGCCCTACCAGCTGGGCTAGGATCTGAGGACAGAGCTATGAACTGCACTTGGCAAGAGAGGCGGGACCCTCTTTCTACATGGATATGACATTGGAGAACCCTAAAAGCCGGTGTTCTTGGGACACTGCAAGACCAAACTTGAGTTGGTCCTCTGTTGGGAGCATGGATTTGGGTACAGCAGAAGCCTGAGTCAGGAGCCCCCAGAACAGCAGCTCACTCTCTACTGCTACACCTCCACCTTGAAGTCTCTGTGCAGAACAGCAGCAATCCCAAACAATACAAAGGGCTAAATTACGAAGGGTCTTTTGTTCTTCTATTTTTTCAAGACAGAATCTGTATAGAGTCTAGCCTTTAAACTGATATACAGCAGAGGACTCTTGCTGTCTGCTTCATTCCCGTAGTTCTGGGATTACAGGTGAGTGCTGGATTTGAATGTAGTCTTGAGCTCAAAACCAAGCCAGCATTGTTGCCGGTCAAACACTACCCATCAGGCTACATCCTTAGCCCTAGTTTATTTCTTGTGAGGATTTTTTGCTTCCTTGTTTGTTTTCGATACAGGGTTTCTCTGTGTAGCTTTGGTGCCTGTCCTGGAAACTTGCTCTTGTAGACCAGGCTGGCTTCAAACTCATGGAGATTCGCCTGCCTCTGCCTCCCAAGTGCTGAGATTAAAGGAGTGCGCCACTACCACCCAGCTTTGTGAGAATTTTTCTAAGAATGGTAAGTAATGGGACTGGAGAGATGGCTCAGCAACCAGGTGCTATTCCAAAGAACCCAGGTTCAATTCCCAGCACCCACATGGTCATTCCCAGATTCCAGGGGATCTGACACCTTCATGCAGACATGCATGCAGGTAAAACACCAATGAACATAAAATAAAAATAAATATAAATAAAACATACCAAAATACAATTGAAGCTTCATTTTTATTGTTGTTTCAAAAGTATGTAATCTGTTGCATAATAAAACGAGGAAGCACACAAGGTCTAAGAGGTTTGACTGGAAACTGCCCACTACCCCACCGCAGGGAAACCACTGGCCTTCACAGTGCCACGCATCAGCCTTTTCCTGTACACGTGCTTTTAGCAAAACTCAGAATCACGATTATATAAATTCATATCTAGCTTTTCAATATACCATTTCCCTCATATTAATAAAAATTCTTTGTAAACATAATTTTAATGAAAGAATATTTCGTTTGTTTGCTTGAGACAGGCTCTCTCTGTGCATCCCTGGCTGTCCTGGAGCTCACTCTGTAGAGCAGGGTGGCCGTGACCTCAGAGATCCTCCTGTCACTGCCTCTGCCTCTGTCTCTGCTGGGGTTAAAAGCATCTGCCGCCACACGTATTTCATAAAAACATACTGCGGTGTATTTAAACTCCCCCCTAGCGGCAAAGGCTTCACTAGAAGGGTTAGTGTGGGGAAGCACACACAGTCAAGGCCACTGTTTCCTACAAAGCTTCCTTTTGAGAACCCAGGAGGCCACCAGCGATCGGGTGAGGGGGTGAGGCGGAGAGAGGGAGCAGCTCACAGGTCCTGGCCCAGACGCTCAAGCTCGCACAGAAGGAAGTCTATATCGGCCCGGGTCAGTGTGGGGTTGGCCACCACCATTCGGAAGAAGTTGGCCCGGGTCCCATGGGGCTGGTAGCCAATCATCATGGAGCCCTTCTTCACCATGCGTTCCTTGAGCACAGGCGCCACCTGTGGGCAATGGGGGAGCCTGAAGCGGCTGCTGCGGCTGCCTGGACCAGCTGCGTCCAGAAGCCGTGTCCCCATATGCTGCACCGTCTGTAGTGGGCTCTCTGCTCACATCCTTTCCACCACACGCAACCTGAGTGACCGTCCCTGTTTTCTGCTTTCTCCCACCCTCTCCTCTCTCCAAGAAAACTGGAGCCGGGAACATCTCCCAACCAGCGCTGCTCCTCCCAGATCTCAAGCCCTCATCCTCAATACCTCTCCCCTTAGTGCCTGACGTAGATCACCTGTGCCGTGTGATCTAGTGGTAACTTACAAAAACACTTCATTTACTGAACACAAGGGTAAACAGACGAGTCCTCTTCTGCAGTAACAGCCCAGAAGGCCACGGCTCTGCTGCCTCTCCAGGGTACTAAGGCGTCCAGCACTAATCTATTCTTAAGGATGCAGGCACATCTGGGACAATCCTTCCGGGTTCCGTCCCCGGCACAGTGGCAATACTACTCCTGCCACACACTGGTGAGTTCCTCTGGTAGCATTCTGCTGTCTCCTCACTTTCCAGAAACATATCTTTCTCCCTATCTGAACCCCATGAAAGAAGAAGACAAGGAGGTGCTCTTCTGCACTTGCCATCTCAAGAGTGAGGCTGGAGCATGCTATACCAGGCACAGCCAGCAGAGGGCGAAGCCTACCTGAGACAGCCTTTCAGCGTAATCTGGACTCTCCTTCTGCCTCCGCAGGCTGGGAGGCACAAACCAGAAGCACACATTGACAAACTCAGGCTGCGAGGAGGGATGAGGAAGGTATGAGCTGAGGAACGGGGCAGTTTCCCTGTCTCCGTCCTGGACCTTTATGAGGCTTCATGTATGGGATGGGGGCAGGGCACTCAAAGGCTCCAGGAGTCCTACCTCCATGACCAACTCAAATCCTTCCCGCTTTTTTATCTCCTCCACCAGGTACCTGGGGATAAGGGGTGAAAAAGCACACATGGCAGAGGCAGGGAAACACCTGGAAGAGGACGAGATCTGGGGTCCTCCTGCACCTACCGGCTGAGCGCAAAGGCCTGGTCGATGCGCTGCTCCAGCCCTCGCTCCCCTTGCGCCTTCCACATGAGCCACAGCTTTAAACAGTCCACATGGCGGCCACACTGCACCACCTTGTCTCCAGTGTCCAGAGCCACATCATAGAACTTGTCCTGCTGGAAGAGGTAGCTGGCCTGGGACCCGTGGCAACGCCTGAGCAGGTTCTGTGGGGAGAGAGCTGTCAGAGCGGGCCTTCCTACAGTGCTGCACACGGGGGTGGGGTGGGGTGTCTCAACTCAGTCATCCTTCCTCTCCCTGGAGCTGGGCAGCATTGAGGGCAACTGCCAGTCAACCCTGACCTCTCTCTGGGTCGCTCCTAACACCAAAACTCTTCCCAAATTCTGTCCAGGATCCCTCTGACCACACGACAAGCTAGGAAACCCTTTCTGGCAAACAAGAACAGGCCACTGGGCTCATGGGAGCTAGTCACAGAAACTTGGTTTCAGGTGGGAGGGTAAAGGGCACACATTCAGGCCTGGGTTCCTCTGTGGCAGGACAGGAAGCTCGGGCTCCACAGAGGAAAGGAGGCTGGGGTCCGGGATGAGGACAGACCCACCGAGGTGTCCCGGAGCAGAAGAGCAGAACACTGCAGCCCTGCGCCGAGAAGCTTGTGAGGGTTCCAAGCCACAGAGTCAGCCCTGGGTGAGACAGAGCAAGACTTTGTCAGTGCTTCTTCCTCCCTCCCCTTCCAGACATCCAGTAAAGGGCATACCCTTCTCCTGCAACCGGAGGATTCCCATGCCTGCCTCCCTCTGGCCTTCAGTCAATCTTCTCTCTAGTCCATCTCACCACTCCCTCCCCAAGCTCCCCAGTTTGTGACTATGGTGAGGACCCCAGATTTGAAGGGAGGGATTTGGGAAGGAAGCTGTGTGCACCTCTGGATCCCATCCAGGAGATGCCTGTGTGTCCGAGACAGCAGAACGCTCCCACCCCAGGCAGCCTGTGAAGCAGGAGAACAGCATGGGTCTTGTCCTCAATGGAGCCCACCCTACCCCCTCGACCCAAGTCTCACTCACATCCACATGGAACCACAATCCGTGACGTTGGCAAAGATCAGCAATGGCATCCAGGGGGTCAAAGGCCCCCAGCACGGTGGTACCAGAGGTGGCACTGACCAGAAATGGTACAGAGCCCTGTCGCCAAAAGGTAGAGGAGAAAAAAAGCTGTAGAGTTCAAGCTGTTCAGACTCTGGTGATGGCCCTACGCTCTCTGCACCCTTGTCCCCAACAATGCAGATGAGTAGAACCTAGGTCTCTCTAGGTTCTCTTTTAGTTTTAGTGCTAGGCTGGGGAGACAGCTCAGTCAGTACAGTGACTAAATTGTGGACCTAAGGTTGATCCCCAGAACCTATATGAAAAAACAAAACACACACACACACACACACACACCCCTCTAGGCATGGTGGCATGAGCCTGCAAACCCAGCTCTAGGAAGACAGAGATACGTAGGCCCTGGGCTTGTTGGCCAGCCAGCCTAGCTTAGCTGGTAAGCATCAGGCAGTAAAAGACCATCTCAAAAAGCAGATGGAAGGCTCCTGAGGAGCAACATCAGAAGCTGGTGCTAGGGTTTCACGTGTACACCAGTGCACACCACCATACATGCGCATTGCCATACATGCATACTGCTGCACATGCACACCACACACACACACCATGGCACATGCACACCGCCACACACGCACACCGCCCATGCACACTGCCACACATGCACACCACCACACACTCACACTGCCACACATGCACACCACCACACACTCACACTGCCACACATGCACACCACTGCACACTCACACATGCACACCACCACACACTCACACTGCCACACATGCACACCACCACACTCACACATGCACACCACCACACACTCACACTGCCACACATGCACACCACTGCACACTCACACTGCCTCACACATACATCATGGCACATGTATGCCACCACACACTCGCAGCGCCACACACACACACACCATGGCACATGCACACCAAAGCACATGCACATACAAACATAACATGTGATGTATTACTTAAGAGCCAAATACTAGCCGGACGGTGGTGGCGCACGCCTCTAATCCCAGCACTTGGGAGGCAGAGGCAGGCGGATCTCTGTGAGTTCAAGACCAGCCTGGTCTACAGAGCTAGTTCCAGGACAGGCTCCGAAACCACAGAGAAACCCTGTCTCAAAAAACCAAAAAAAAAAAAAAAAGCCAACTACTATTGAAAGTTCCATACTATAAAAGTTCGTACTGACATCAGATAAGTAAACAAAACAAATTTAAACTACCACAGAGAAAAGCTCAAACACAGATGGCTTCACTAATGAATTCCATCAAATATTTAAAAACTAAACACTACTGGGAGATGGCTCAGCAGTTCAGAGCACAGCACCCACCAGCAGATCTTCCAGAGGACCCAGGGTCAAGCTCCCACACTGACAGCTCACAACTGCCTGTAACTCCAGTCTCAGGAGATCCAACAACACCCTCTTCTGGCCTCCCTGGGTACCAGGCACACACATGGCACACAGATATACATACAGGCAAATCACACATACGTATAAAAATTAAATTTAAATTAAAAACAATAAATAAGTACCAGTTCACAAATATTTTCTCCCTAAAATCAGAATACATAAAACCATCTTGAGCTGGAGATGGAGACAGCTCAGGGCAAGAGCACTTTATCTAGGATGCCTGAGGCCCTAAGCAGAATCTCCAGAACCAAACTTACAAGAAACAAACAACAGCAAAACACATTAGCTCACTTTGTGTGTACACAATGGAACATGAACACACAAATAAAACTAAGAGGCAGGCATGACCTTTAATCCCAGCACTTGGGAAGCAGAGGCAGGCAGATCTCTGTGAATTTGAGGCCAGCCTAGTCAACATGGAGAACTTAGGGCAGCCAGAGCTACATAGTGAGACCCTGTGTCAAAAACAAAAGAAAATAAGAAAATAATTTCCTGTAGCCAGGCCTGGTGGTGCTTGCTTATAATCGAAGCCATTCAAGCAGCTAAAGACGGTCACATTCAAAACCAGCCAGGGCTACAAGGAAAAACCCTGTTGCAAAAAGCATACATCAATCAATTAGTTAATTAGCCCCAGAAGAGAGCTCTGCAGATAGTTCAGTGACAGAACACTCGCTTGGACGTTCAGTGTTCTGGGTTCAGTCGCCAGTACTGAACACATCACACAAAACCAAAGATACAAAAAGTGAGGGACCTGCCAGGTGGAGCTCCACACTTCGTGATCCTGGCACTTGGGATTCAGAGGCAGGAGAATCTGGAATTCAACGCCAGCCTGAGCTACACGGGACTCTGTCTAAATGAACAGACCTAACTTATGCTGTGTGTGGTCATGCCTTAAACCTCAGGACTTGAGAGGCAGAGGCAGGTGGGTATCTTTGAGTTTAAAGCCAGTGTGGTGTGGGTTCCAGGCCATTGAGGGCTACACACTTAGACCCTGTTATCAAAAACTAAAAACAAAACAGCAAAAATAATGTAAATTATAAGGAACAAGGCAGAAGGCTCAGTAGTTACGAACATCCACTGCTTCCAGCAGACCTGAGTCTAACCCAGCACCCTCTGCTGATCTCCAAGGGCACTGCACATACACGCACACCTACACACAAACATACATACACAGAAGTAAAAACAGAAATGAATCTTTAAAATTTTTGAATAATTAAAAGTATAAAACACTTATAAAAAGAAATTTTGTGCTCTTTGACTAGGTTAGCTATGATATCCAAAGCACAAGATACCAAGGCAGGGGTGGGATAAGCAGCAAAATGGCGAGGAGTAACGGTGTTTGCCATCATGTCTGACGATTTCTGTTTGACTCCTGACCCCACATGGTGGGAGGAGGGAACTGACTCTAAAAGTTGTCCCCTGACCCCGATATGCAGGCTGTGGCACTCAAGAGGCTGAGGCAGGAGAATCACTCCAAGTTTGAAGTCAAGTTGGGCTATACAATAGGACTTTGATTAAAAAAAAAAATTAAAATGGAATTTCCAGCAGTGGAACTCTCCCCACTGCAGGTGGAAAACTCTGGTCTGGCACGGCTTTAATGTGACACTGTCAACTATGAGTAGACATGTAATCCAACTGTGATGCTGGGAGGACACTGGGCTACTTAGGGTCATCAGGTGGCCCTTACAGTTGACCACTAGTGCTTGAGGAATAAGGGGAAACCAGAGGAGACACCAACACCTGGCTGTGTCTCTTGCTGTGTGAAGTTCTGTACTGACTTGGTGCTTGCCAGCAAGAAGGCCAACACCAGATTTAAGCCTTGAACCTTGAACCTGAGCTGTGAGACAAAACAAACCTCTTTTCTTATTAAATTACGCAGCCTCAGGTACTTCCCTGTACTAAAGTGGATTAATCACAGGGTCTTAAAGAGGTAGCTGTCCAGACAGCATCGTTCCCAATAGCTAGAGAGTAGAGAGTAGAAGCAGCCACTGTTTATTGCTGGATGAAGGGATAATCAAATGACAAATACATTCGACAGAAAGTTTTTTGTTTTTGTTTTTGAGATAGGGTTTCTCTGTGTAGCCCTGGTATCTTGGAACTCACACTGTAGACCAGGTTGGCCTCAAACTCACAGAGATCCATCTGCCTCTGTGTCCTGAATGCTGGGATTAAAGGAGTGCACTACCATTGCCTGGCTCCAGAAATTAAGTTTTAACACACATTTAATGCAATCTCCATCAAAATCCCATCAAAATTCTTCACAGATCTGGAGAAGACAATAATCAACTTTATATGGAAAAACAAAAAACCCAGGATAGCCAAAACAATCTTATACAATAAAGGATCATCTGGAGGCATTACCATCCCTGACTTCAAACTCTATTACAGAGCTACAGTATTGAAAACAGCTTGGTATTGGCATAAAAACAGAGAAGTCGACCAGTGGAATCGAATAGAAGACCCTGACTTTAACCCACAAACCTATGAACACCTGATTTTCGATAAAGGAGCTAAAAGTATACAATGGAAAAAAGAGAGCATCTTCAACAAATTGTGCTGGCAAAACTGAATGTCAATCTGTAGAAGAATGAAAATAGATCCATATCTATCACCATGCACAAAACTCAAGTCCAAGTGGATTAAAGACCTCAATATCAGTCTGAACACACTGAATCTGATAGAAAAGAAAGTGGGAAGTACTCTACAACACATGGGCACAGGAGACCACTTTCTACGTATAACCTCAGCAGCACAGACATTAAGGGCATCATTGAAAAAATGGGACCTCCTAGACTGAGAAGCTTCTGTAAAGCAAAGGACACTGTCACTAAGACAAATAGGCAACCCACTGACTGGGAGAAGATCTTCACCAACCCCGCAACTGACAAAGGTCTGATCTCCAAAATATATAAAGAACTCAAGAAACTAGACTGTAAAAGGCTAATCAACCCAATTATAAAATGGGACACTGAGCTGAACAGAGATCTCACAACAGAAGAAGTTCAAATGGCCAAAAGACACCTAAGGTCATGCTCAACTTCCTTAGCAATCAGGGAAATGCAAATTAAGACAACTTTAAGATACCATCTTACAACTGTCAGAATGGCTAAAATCAAAAACACCAATGATAGCCTTTGCTGGAGAGGTTGTGGAGAAAGGGGTACACTCATTCATTGCTGGTGGGAATGCAAACTTGTGCAACCACTCTGGAAAGCAGTGTGGCAGTTTCTCAGAAAATTCGGGATCAACCTACCCCTGGACCCAGCAATACCACTCTTAGGAATATACCCAAGAGAGGCCCTATCATACAACAAAAATATATGCTCAACTATGTTCATAGCAGCATTGTTTGTAATAGCGAGAACCTGGAAACAACCTAGATGCCCTTAAATGGAAGAATAGATGAAGTAAGGAATATATACATATTAGAGTACTACTCAGCAGTAAAAAACAAGGACTTCACGAAGTTTGCATACAAATGGATGGAAATAGAAAACACTATCCTGAGTGAGGTAAGCCAGACCCAAAAAGAGGAACATGGGATGTACTCACTCATATTTGGTTTCTAGCCATAAATAAAGGACATTGAGCCTATAATTCGCGATCCTAGAGAAGCTAAATAAGAAGGTGAACCCAAAGAAAAACATATAGGCATCCTCCTGAATATTAACCTTCATCAGGCGATGAAAGGAGACAGAGACAGAGACCCACATTGGAGCACAGGACTGAAATCTCAAGGTCCAAATCAGGAGCAGAAGGAGAGAGAGCACAAGCAAGGAACTCAGGACCACGAGGGGTGCACCCACACACTGAGACAATGGGGATGTTCTATCGGGAACTCACCAAGGCCAGCTGGCCCGGGTCTGAAAAAGCCTGGGTTAAAACCGGACTTGCTGAACATAGCGGACAATGAGGACTACTGAGAACTCAAGAACAATGGCAATGGGTTTTTGATCCTACTGCACGTACAGGCTTTGTGGGAGCCTAGGCAGTTTGGATGCTCACCTTACTAGACATGGATTGAGGTGGGTGCTCCTCGGACTTCCCACAGGTCAGGGAACCCTGATTGCTCTTTGGGCTGATGAGGAGGGGGACTTGATCGGGGCAGGGGGACTAGATGGGGGGAGGGGGGGGGAAATGGGAGGCGGTGGCGGGGAGGAGGCAGAAATGTTTAATAAATAAATAAATAAATAAATAAATAAAAAAAAAAGAAAGGCAGACAACATGTAAAAAACAAAGTTAAATGCAATTAAAAAAAAAGTTTTAACACACAAACTTTCAGACACACTCAAACCATATCCAAGCCACAGTACTCTGGACTGTTCTCAATGAATGTAGTAATGCCCCCGGCCACTGTCATAAAACAAAATAAAAACAGATCTGTGTTTGGCAGTGAGGCAGAGGCAGGCAGATCTCCAAGTCTGAGACAGGGTTACTGGAGAAACCCTGTCTCAAAAACAAAAAACAAACAACAACAAGAACAACAAACAACCAGACATGCTCACTTCCATAGGTCCTCTTGGACGGGACAATTGAGAGAGTGGAGTCGAAGGCAGCACCTGCCCCACGCAAGTCCTCCTGGATGGGGAGGGCTGTGTGGGGAGCAAGGGAAGTAGGTTGTCTCAGCTCTTCAGCTCCAGGGCCAGCCAGCCAGTGCCTCTCTCCAAGGCTAGCAAGTTCTTGTCTGGCCTTAAGACCCACCCTAATGCAGTCCCTTGTCCCCCTGCAGTCTCCAGCATCTCTCCCAGCTCCTGACTTGATTTGACCAATGCTCCTGTCTACCTCCCAGCACAGCAAACACTCAGTTGTCTTATAGGGATCTATGAGTGTCAGTCCTCCCTACACTAATAAAAATGATCTAGCAAAATAAAATGAGCAGGCTGGAATGACAGCTCCGTGGTGAAGGGAGCTCATTGCTCTTGCAGAGTTCCCAGGGTCAGTTCCCAACACCACGTGATGAATTGGTAAGAATTGGCAAGCATGAAGAGAAATTAGAAGAACATATACTGCTGGAATTTTAAGATGGTAAAGGTACTTTAGAAAACAGATAAGGGCCAGGCAGTGGTGGTGCACACCTTTAATCCATAGGGAGGCAGAGGTGGGCAGATCTCTTTGAGTTTGAGGCCAGCCTGGTCTACAAAGTGAATTCTATAGAGAAACCCTGTCTCAAGAAACAAAAAACAGGGCTGGAGAGATGGCTCAGAGGTTAAGAGCACTGACTGCTCTTCCAGAGGTCCTGAGTTCAATTCCCAGCAACCACATGGTGGCTCACAGCCATCTGTAATGAGGTCTGGTGCCCTCTTCTGGCATGTAGGCATACATGGAAGGAATGCTGTATACATAATAAATAAATCTTAAAAAAAGAAACAAAAAACAAAATAAATAAAAGAGTAAACTGCTGTAGAATATTATTTTAAGGTGTGTTACTTCTGTCTATGCTCTGGAACATTTGCTTAATTATGGAAAGATGTGTTTGGTTAAATAAAATTCACCTGCAGTCCAGAGGCTGCGTCAGCAACTGACAGGAAGTGGTAAGGAAGAGCCAGGTGGAGAAGGGTTTATAAGGAGGGACAAGAAAAAGCACAAAGACTTCTTGGGAGACATGAGGAGGTGAGCTAGGTCAGCTGCTTGCTTTTCGGCCTTTCTGGGAAGCAGGATTCTACCTCAACCTTTGAATCATGAGTTCTTTAGCAGGACAGAGATTTAGATAAATTCTCTGAGCAGCTTTGAAAGAGTCGATGCCTGTGGGAACAGAATTTATTTCGTCGGGCTGCGGCTCTGGTGGCCTAGCCTCTGCTGGAGGACAACAGAAAGCAGGTTAGGACTCTCTATCCCCAGCTGGGAACATCAACAGTTGCTGACTTCTGAGAGGAGGGTCAGTTTTCTTTACAGGTGTGGCACTTGGGACCACACTCCAACGAACAGCATGAACCAGAATCAGCATGCTACTTACTATATAATAATAAAATAACAATTATTAATACTAACGATGAAGAGGACATAGGTTGGAGGTGCTGCTTTTTGGAGGACTGAGTTTGATGAGCAGCACCCACGTCAGGTAGCTCCCACCTGCCTGTAACGTCAACTCCAGGGCTATCTGATGCCTTTGGACTCCACAAGTGTAACATGCTAACACACAAACACATCCTTTAACTATAAAAATATTGGAGCTGGAGGGGCCGGGCGGTGGTGGTGCACGCCTTTAATCCCAGCACTTGGGAGGCAGAGGCAGGCGGATCTCTGTGAGTTCGAGACCAGCCTGGTCTACAAGAGCTAGTTCCAGGACAGGCACCAAAGCTACAGGGAAATCCTGTCTCGAAAAAGAAAAAAAAAAAATTGGAGCTGGAGAGATGGCTCAGTGGTCAAGAGCACTGGTTGCTCTTCTAGAGGACCCTGGTTCAGGGTTCAGGTAATTCCAGTTCCAGGGGATCTAATGCCTTCTTCTGGCCTCTGCAGATATAGGAACTCAAATGGATCACAGGTATACATGCAGGCAAAACACCCATACACATAAAAACATAATAAAATGGTTTTTAAAATATGTAAACACAATTATTCTAAATAGCAAAATAGGGTGTTCATTCTATACAGTGACCTGAAATACGTATTTCATGTATATGGAGGTATTTTCATGTTATCATATGTACATTCATATATTTGCCTACACTGTACCCTAGTGGTGGTGGCGATGATGATGAAGACAATAGTTATGTCACACACTGAGATCACAGCCCACATCTGTAATCACAGCACCAAGTAAGCTAAGGCAGGAAGATCAAGTTTGAGGCCAACATGAGCTACACACTGAGTTCAAAGCCAAAGCATACTGCACAGCAAGAACCGGCCCCTAAAAAGCGCAGCAGCAGACACAGCTGATGTCTGGACGTGTATCCGCGTCCAGCGCTAGTCTAAGCACTCTGCACACGAACTCATTCATCCTTAGAGCAGCCTTCTGTCATTTCACACAGACCTGTCAGCGTTTATCTTACCTACCAATAGGCATTAGGGCATTGTTTTCAGTTCATACTTTGTTCTGGTAAATGTCCTCATGCACAGAATTCTATGAACTTGTACTAATTAACAATTCTCTGAGCAGAGGACCTCTGAATCTGCAGACAGATGTACTTAAAAACTGGGCAGGGTACCAAACATGCCGTACCTTCTCCCCCATGGCAGCAATGCTCACCAAAGCCTGCACATCCTCCCCAGTGTCCCCCTGTGTGACTCTCGGTCCACAGAAACCTTCCACACTATTCATGCTTTAAGCACCTACCACCATCCCCACAGGTGCTTGGGACTCCTTGGAAATTCAGAACCTAACCCACCTACAAGTGTCTGTAGAGTCCCCGACACTAAAGGAGAGGCGTGAGGAGTATCTCAAGCAGGAAGATCCTGAACCACCTTTCCTGAGGGGATAGAGGGGCCCTGCCCCACTACCCAGTGACCTCACTCACCTCAGCCTCGGCCAGACTGATCTGCCTCTCCAGGTCCTCAGGGTCCATTTTCCCTCTGAAAAGGAAAACTGAGTAAGTGAAGCCAGTTCAGGTGTGCTCACATAACACAGCTGGGATAAGAGAGGAGCAATACAGAGGTCATGTACAGACTGAGACCTCAGAGCACCGGGGAGGATGCTAGTGGGCACTGAGAAGCAGGAGCAACAATTATGAAAGAAGAGTAGGCAGGAGAGGTGCACCAGGGACAGGGCCTAAGGCCAGAGCAATCTGGCAAGTAGGTGACAAGCTGTGCCAAGCTGGGTCAGGGCCGTGTCGGCAGAAGGACCTTCACCTCTCATCAGCCTTGACCACTCGGACACTGTCAGTGCCAAGTCCGAGAAAAGCGGCTCCCTTACTGACGGAGTAGTGACACTGTGGAGGAACGCAGAGGGCAAGTTAGCGTGGCCTGAGCTGCGGCCCAGAAGGCTCTATGGCTGGGGAGGGCAACTGATGGGACCCTGTGGCCAGGACTGATGGGACCCTGTGGCCAGGGCTGATGGGACCCTGTGGCCAGGGCCTTCAAGTGTTCATGTGCAGGATTATGTTGGGTCTGAGTTAAATACAGGCTCGGAGCTGGTGGGCCTGCGACTGCATTTCTAGAGCCTCCCAGGTGATGTCAGTGCCGCTGGAGCGTGAACTAGCTCAGAGGGGAGCCTGCATCTACAGCATTCATCTCACCCCACCTCCAGGAAGGCAAGAATATCTGGCCTCACCCACTGGAGGCCAGGAAGACTTGTGGGGTCTCTAGCTGAGCTGGCAGAAGATTAGACTCAGGAGTCAGGGCCAGGCCTGTGGCTATTCCCTACCTCCTTTGATGTGAAGAGGGCCAAAGGTGGCAGTGCCCGGAGCCCTCTCTGCTTGCAGTCTGGGTAGCGCTGATAGCGGGCCAGGTTCAAGGCATACATATTCGAGATGGAGCCCCCTGTCCCAGGGAGGAAATGGTAGCTAAAGTGAGTGGTAGTGAGTCAAGACCCAAGTTTCCTTCCCCAACCTTTCCACCCAGAACTGGTCAAACAGCAGGCCTCACATTAGCTCCCAAGCCAGGAATTCCTAGGATTCACAAATAGCACAGGGGCCAGACCAGGTCTGGGATCAAGAGACCCCTATACTCCCTGAGCGCCCACTAGGGTCACTTCCCCATGATGGGAAGCCTCTCGTGGTCTAGCCCAGTGGGACCCAAAAGGAAACAGCTACTGCCCTCCACACTAGTTGTACAGAATAAGAGAAAGTACACAGGAGGCAGGCCTTTTACAAAGACCCAAGGACGGCCCCCTTCCCCCTTCTCACATACCGGGGCAGAAGACCCCATCCCCGGAGTTCCAGCCCACCAAGGCACGGAGTTTCTTCAGCACCTCCTCTTCCATAAGTACAAACACAGGGGCAATCTCATACGTGTACCTGCCAGGGAACATCAGTGAAAAGGCCCAGGTGGGAGTACTGCCCAGCTGAGTCAGAGGGGGTGAAGGATCCCAAGAGAGAAGTTGGTGGGTGTCAAAGAACCAGAGCTCACATGAGAAAACAGTGGGGCAGGAGGCACGAAGAGGCTGGAGGACAGAAGGCCAAAGGACAGACAGGAGGGAAAACATTCTCTAAGGAGGCATTTGTAAAAAACAGGGGCAAGGGGCAGAAACCACGGTCCTGTCCTACCCAGATGACTTCCCCAGCAAACCCAAGTTCTCTATAGACACGAGGGCCCTAGATGGCTCACGGGCTGGTGTTGAGGCTCTCCGTGATGATGCGCCCAGCCAGAGCATGGGGATCTAAACCTGAGAAGAGCTGGTTGAAGAACCGGGGGTGACCTGGAGGACGGGGAGCAGGCAGGGGTCTCAGGGTGGACCTGGGTACTCCTGGGGCCAGCAAGCCCTCCCGTCAGGTTCCCAGGCACACCAGTCTTGACACTGTAGTGAATCACTGTCCGGCAGCGTTCCAGAATCTGTTCCTGAGACTCTCCCTGGCTCTGCAGCTCCAAATCCAGCAGCTGCCTGAGCTCCTCAGGCTCCTTCCATTCGCAGACCTAGCAGGAGGCCAAGATGCAGCCATGACAATTAAGACAGCTCAAGAATGCTCTTTCCCAAGCATACACAAGCAAGGGGGAATGAAGGACCAAAGACCCAGAGTGCAGCTCTTGAGACTCATGAGGAACATGGGTAAACTCACTGGAGTCAAGTCTACAAGACCACGGGCAGGAGGAGGAAGGAGAAGGGGCCCACCTTCTCTGAGGCACTGGTCCCTTTCCGAATGGCCTCATCTACAACAATCCCAAACACGTCCCGGAGCAAGGCCTCCACAGCCATGGGATCCCCATTCAGAGCAGTATGTGGTTTGGAGGCAGCCATCAGGATGAAATCTGCAAGCAGGGGTGGAACCATGCCTCATTTAGCCTGTGTGCCCCACTGGGACACAACAAGCAAGACCTTCTACTTGGTAAGGGGCCTGAGGTCCATGCTAAGTAAGTGCAGGTGCGGGGAGGAGGCAGCATCCAGAGAGAAAGCCAGTGTCAACAAGAGGAAGGGACAGGCAACCCACGCCAAGTACACCTAGGGCAGAGACACAGCACTTACCTCTCTGCTCAGGCCTAAATTCAGACGAGCTGGCGACAAGGTACACAATGAACTTTTCTGAATAATAGGATGAAGACAGCAGAGGAGTAGGGTAAAGCCAGCATTCACATGGCTGGGCATAACTCTCATGACCCTTGCCCAAAAGAAAACTTTTACAGATTTGGGACAGGGACAGCTGGCTAGGCTGAGCTCCCCGGGTAATAATTAGCTGACAGAGGAAGGGTGGGGCCGCGACAAGAAAGGCAAAAGCAGGTGGCACATCTCCTCAGAGAGGGCATCATGAGTGCCCAGGGAGTGGGGAAAGACTGGAGGAAGGCAAGGGCAGAGAGGCCCAGGAAGGGCCTGAGATGTGCAAGTCAAGCCATCCTACCGCTGAGTCTTTGCAAAACTATCCTAGTTTTGGGCTGCAGAGATGGCTCAGAGGTTAAGAACACTGGCTGATCTTTTCCAGAAGACCTGTGTTCAATTCCCAGCAACCACATGGTAGCTCACAGCCATCTGTAATGAGATCTGGTGCCCTCTTCTGGCCTGCAGACATACACGCAGACAGAACACTGTATACATAATATTTTTTTTTTTTTTTTTGAGGCAGGGTTTCTCTGTAGCTTTGGAACCTGTCCTGGAACTAGCTCTTGTAGACCAGGCTGGCCTCGAACTCACAGAGATCCACCTGCCTCTGCCTCCTGAGAGCTGGGATTAAAAGGCGTACACTACCAGCACCCGGCTTTTCTTCTTTTTTTTAAGGTTGTATGTATCTCAGGCTGATCTCCAACTGGTTATGTGGCCAACAGTGATTTTGAACTCATCTTCCTGCATCTACCTTTCAAGGGCTAGGATTATAGGAATGAGCCACTACAGGCAGTTTATGTCATCCTGGAAGTCAGACCCAGGCTCTGTACACACTAAGCAAGCACTGTAACAACCTAGCTCCATCCATACCCTAGCATCCACATCCCTTCTGCAGAAGGAGACTTAGACATAGCTCAGGCTAGCCTTAAAACCAAATCCTCCTGCTTTAGCTCCCAAGGACTGCGATTAACAGGCCTGTGCTGCCAAGCCTCCTCTGCCCTGACTTCTGAAGTCTCTGAGAGGAGGCCACGCTGAAGAAGCACTGTGCCACACAAGCGTCCATGCTAGGACTGAGACAGCCCTGCCCTGCTGGCGGACACAGACACACATGCAACAATAATGGCCTGGGGTCTGATCCTGACCAAGCAGGTAAACGGCAGGTGAGGAACCCTGAAAGAGAAGGAAGAAGGTCATGAGCTAACATGGGGTAAGCCAGATGGGATGCAGGGGCAAAGTTGAGTGGGTTATGGCAAGTCTTAAGCATCAACCCGACCTAGGAATCTAATTTTACCCTGCAGAAAACGATGTCACTAAAGGAGTCTGCAGCAAGTCATATAATTAAGTTGATGCTGACAGCTAGTAGTGCTGCTTCAAGCCTGCAACCACAGCAAGAAGCAGACACAGGAGTATCATGGCAAGTTCCAGGCCAGTTAGCACTACATACAAAGACAATGACTAGTAAAGACAAAAACAAAACAAGAATTAGAATGGGAATGAGAAAGGTGAGCTTGGGCAGTGGTGGTGTTCACCTTTAATCCCAGCACTTGGGAGGCAGAAGCAGGTGCCATCTCTGGGAGTTCGAGGCCAGCCTGGTCTATAGTACAAGCTACAGGACACCCAGGTCTACACAGAAAAACCCTGTCTCTAAAAACAAAATAAACAGAACAAACAAAAAACATTTTTTAAAAATTGATGCTTTTAGCTGGATGTGTGTGGGCCCACTACTATAGTCTCAGTGCTTACGAAGTTGAGGAAAGAGGATCACTATGAGTTTGAGGCCAGTCAGAACTACATAGAACTACACAGCAGAGAAAAATAATGACAGCTTGAATTCTGCAGGAAAATGGATGGAGCTAGAAAACATTATTTTGAGTGAGGAAACCCAGACACAGAAAGACAGTTATCACACGTACTCACTCATAGGTGGTTTTTAAACATAAAGCAAAGAAAGCCAGTCTACAAACCACAATCCCAGAGAACTTAGACAACAATGCAGACATTAAGAGAGACTTACATAGCTCTAATCTACATGGGAAGTAGAAAGTAGAAAAAGACAAGATCTCCTGAGTAAATTGGAAGCATGGGGACTGAGGGGGAACACTGAAGGGAGGAGGGGAGAGACAGGGAGGGGAGCAGAGAAAAATGTAGAACTCAATAAATATCAAAAGAAAAAAATAAAAAAAACTTAGAGGGGGTGAGAGGAGAAGAAATAAAGGAAAGAGAGAGAGAAGAAAAGGAAGAAAGAAAAAAGGACGGAAGGAAGGGAGAAAAGGCTGGGTGGTGGTGGCCTATGCCTTTAATTCCAGCACCTGGGAGGCAGAGGCCAGCCTAGTCTACAAATCAAGTTCCAGGATAGCCAGAGCTGTTACACAGAGAAACTCTGTAAACTCTGTCTCAAAGAACGTGCAAGAGAGGAAGGGAAGGGGGGAGGAAGGAAGGGGGGGGAGGAAGGAAGGGGGGGAGGGAGGGAGGGAGGGGAGGGGAGGGGAGGGAGAGAGGGAGAGAGAAAAACTGATGCTCAAGAGGCCAGTTTCCGGCAGCGGGATGCAGAGTTGATAGGCAAGGAGAAGCCACACCAGCTTTGGTCATTCTCTGAGTTACACTGATTCTGACAAAGGTGCTGTTGAAGGAAATGGAAGAATCAAAGGTGACAGTGGAGTTTGTGCTTGGGTGGCCAGAAAGTTATAACCCATGACGAATGTGGGAGCAGGAGGGGAAAACTGAATGAAAGTGAATACGAGAGAGACCTCCTGGATGTGTCCATCCTAGAGATCCACGCTCGGGGAAGACCCCACTAGAGCCGAGTGAGATCATCTCAGGGAACTGAGTCTTTGCAAGGCTCAGAGGATGGTGCAGGGAGAGCAGCAAAACTGAGGGGCACGTGGACCTAGAACAGAGCCACCTTCCTGAGTGCAACTGTTCAACCCACTGCCCACTGTCAGTCTTCACAGGGCCTCACACCAGCACTCCCTGGGTCTGGGGAACCGGGAATACTAGCCAGGATATGAGAGGGAGGGTCAGTCCCTCAGAGCCACTCTGCTACCTCCCCCACCCCAACAGCTGCAAACATGGTGAACAAAGGTCAAGAGACTAAATGGGCAAACTGGGATAGAGATCAGAGCCTGCCTACTACATAGAAAACCCTGGGTTCCATCCCCAGCACTACAAAAACAAACCAAAAATGGGTCCTACTTCATGACATTCCATACTTAAAATGCACTATGCTGACCTTCACACTGCTTCAGGGAGGCCCATGAACCACATTTTAAAAAGGGAACCGGGCTTCATAGTTTTCACTGCAAATACTAACAAATGTCAATATATATTTTCTCCCTCTTTACACAACAGGAACATGATAATTCTTCTACATACTGCTTTTTCTCCACAAAAAAATATGGGTACGGAGCTGGAGAGATGGCTCAGAGGTTAAGAGCACTGGCTGCTCTTCCAGAGGTCCTGAGTTCAATTCCCAGCAACCACATGGTGGCTCACAACCATCTGTACTGAGATCTGGCGCCCTCCTCTGGCTTGCGGGCATACATCGAGGCAGAATGTTGTATACATAATAAATAAATAAATCTTTACAAAAAAAAAAATGGGGCTGGAGAGATGGCTCAGTGGTTAAGAGCACTGCCTGCTCTTCCAAAGGTCCTGAGTTCAATTCCCAGCAACCACATGGTGGCTCACAACCATCTGGAATGAGGTCTGGTGCCCTCTTCTGGCCTGCAGACATACACACATTGTATACATAATAAATAAATAAATATTTAAAAAAAAATATGGGTACGTATCATATTAGTACGTACAGCGCTTCCTTGCTGTTCTTTAACATAACAGCTTTAGGAGATAAATTTTACACACCGCAGAACTCATCCCTTTATCCAGGGGTTTTAGTAAAGCCACAAACTTGAGCAAGCACTGCCACTACCTAACTCTAGAACCTTTTCCTCATCCCAGGGATAAACTCATCAGCAGTCACTGGTTTCTCCCGCCCAAACCTCTGGCACCCACAAATCCACTTTCCATTTCTACAGATTTGCCGGGCTGTGCAGGTCACTGAAAAAGCAGCAGACACTATGTGGGGTTTGTGACTAGCTTCCTTGGGGAAAGAAGCACACTGTTCTAAAGAATGCAGCATGAGCCAGTATTTCACTCCTTTTCATGACTGGTTCATACTCTTTATAGGAAGATTATGTACTTCATTTGGCCATTTATAAGTTCCTAACTGTTTCAGTCACTTGTGGCATTGGCTATGATGAATAACGCTGCTATGAACATTTGTGTACAAGTTCTTGTACAGACATGTGTCTTCAATTCCCCTGAGGATATACCTGCTGGGAAAACTGCTGAGTCACACACTAACTATGTTTAACCTCTTGAGGAATTGCCAAATTGTTTTCCAAAATAGGTGTCCTTCACAGTTCCACCAATAGTGGACGAGGACACCAGTTTTCCACCTTTACAGAGACAACCACCTGCAAGTCTGATCGGGTCAACATTCATAAACCTTGTACCAATGTAGAAAATATTGGACCAGCAAAATGGCTAGGTAAGTGAGAGGTGCTTCCCGCTAAGCACCTGGATTTGACCATGGACCCCACATGAGAGATGTGGAGAACTAACTCTCGTAGAGAAGTTGTCCTTCAACCTCTGCATACACGTGCACGTGAATGCATATGCACACACATGCACATACACACAAAACAGGTAAACATAATTTTAAAAAATGCCTTAGAGGGGTAGTAAGATGAGGTGTGTAAAGTAAAGGTGCTTGTTACCCACCCTTAGGACCTGAATTTGATCCCAGGAATGCAAACGGTGGAAGAATGGGTTTGCAGCTGTTGTTCTCTGCCGCAAAAGATACAAGTGCATGCACACAGGCAGCTCGCTAAGCAAATAAATAGAATTAAGAATCATATTTTTAAAATGTCTTAGTAAATGTCCAGACCCTTGGCTTCAGCAAAACAGAATGACACACAACTTTTTTTTTTTTTTTTGAGACAGGGTTTCTCTGTTTCACAGCTCTAGCTGTCTTGGAACTTGCCCTGAATACCAGGCTGGCCTTGAACTCACAGAAATCCATCCACCTTGCCTCCCAAGTGCCACCACTTTCGAAAATGAGGCGTGTAGCTCAGTGCTACACTGGCTTCCTACGGTGACTCACAGCACACCACACTCCCCCCCACAATAAACAGACATCTCAATATAGTTTTATATAAGTGGATCAGTCAGTTTCTATGAAGCAGTGACACACTTCAAAATCGCACTGTTTGCCTTAGGAACCAGAATTCTGCTGTACTGCTCTGTCTGACCCAGCACTCTTGAGTTGAAGCAATGCTCCTGCCTCAGCAGTGTGAGCGTAGGTGCATAGTCCTGTGCTCACTTTGCTTTGCTTCATGTGCAGTGCTGGGGATAGAACACCTAGGGTTCAATTCCTAGCACCCAAGTTGACAGTAATTACAGTCGCAGGACATCCAGTGCCCTCTTCTGGCCTCCTCAGGCACTGCGTGCATGTGGTGCATATAAACACATGCAGGAAACAGCAGACAGAAATGAACGTACCCCTCAACCTGCATGCTTAGTACTCAACTAGCCCTCACCTATGTCTTAACAGTCCAGGGTCCCCAAATCAGGGAAGACTTGGTCTTCCTGTATTAATTAACAATCAAGGTTAACACCTCACAGATGTGTCCAAAGGTCAACGTGATTTCTACAGTTCCTGAGGAGAGTCTGGTGTTTAGGTTATACCAGGCTGACAAAGCCAAGCATGACAACAGTGCCTCCAAATTAAATATATATACAACAATCTCACCTTAGTTACACCATTAAAATAAAAGTTACTTTAAAACAAGAAAAGATTGAGAAGGGGCTGAGTGTGGTAGTGCACACCTTTACAGATCTCTGTGAGTTCACAGTGAGAGACACTGTCTCAAAAAAAAAAAAAACAAATAATGATAATGATAATAAAATGGTTAAGGAGGGGCTGTAGAAGTAGTTCTGTGATAGGCTCTCAGTTCCATTCCCATCACCACACAAAAAAAGAAAAACCTCCAAAATTTCCCAAGTATAAGGAACGTCCCTTGAACATCATTCTATTTCCCAACTTGTTTTTTTTTTTTTTAAGACAAAGTTCTCTATGTAACAGCCCTAGCTGCCCTGGAACTAGCTCTCGTAGAGCAGGCTGGCCTTGAACTCACAGAAATCACCTGCCTCTGCCTCCGGAGTGCTGGAATTAAAGGCTTGCGACTATTTCCCAACTTCTTTATTCACTATCATCAAAGGTCTAAGGGGCGGCAAAGAAAACTAGACAGCTTGTGTCTATTATGCAACCGTACTGGCTCTCAAGAGAATGGTTTAGCTGGTTCAGCAAACACTGACTGTCTACTTCTGCTTGGCTGGCACTGCCCCAGGGACTGCGCTTATCCTGTGGGTTCCAGCTAGCAGCCAGCAAAGGAGCCCATCACACGTGCTGGCCTTCAGGTAATGAGGTGGGGACGCACTTGGGACTCGTCGCAGCACTATTTGGGGAAGTGACGCAGTGAAGCAGAAAGGCTGAGTTAGGGATCCTGTACCAGAGGAGTCCTACCTGACAGCAAAGAGATCCGGACAACTAGCTACCTCCAGAAGTTCTTTTAACTAAGCATATTGTTAGAAAGTTAACAAACTGGGGCCTTTGAGATGGCACAGCGGGCAAGGGCCCTTGCTCTCAAGCCTGGTGAACTGCGTTTCTCCATCCCTGAACCCACATAGTAGAAGCAGAGAACCGACTCTCCAAAAGTTGACCTCTAGCTGGACAGTGGTAGCACACATCTTTTTTTTTTTTTTTTTTTTTTTTTTTTTTTTTGGTTTTTCGAGACAGGGTTTCTCTGTGGCTTTGGAGCCTGTCCTGGGAACTAGCTCTGTAGACCAGGCTGGTCTCGAACTCACAGAGATCCGCCTGCCTCTGCCTCCCAAGTGCTGGGATTAAAGGCATGCGCCACCATCGCCCGGCTTGGTAGCACACATCTTTAATTCCAGCACTAGAGAGGCAAGGGCAGGCGGATCTCTGTGAGTTCAAAGTATGTGCCACCAGTAGTTAGGAAGCCTTATCTTTTTTCATTATGGACTTTTTTTTTTCTTCGATAGTGCCTTGAAGTCTCCTACACTCACCAGACGGCAGCTAGAATAGAGTGGAACGTAAGTGGAATCCCCGTTTCCTTCTGCTAAGTGTGCACTTCGAGTATTCCATCTTTTAACAGGACCCCTCTCTAATGCTAAGCTGCTCGAGGATGGGTTTAATTTTCCCCTTTTCAAATGCAGCCTGGTTCAGGGAGCAACAAAAAGTCCACCGAAGGGAAACCTGGGTTAGATCACCCAGAACAGGGAGGAGAGAAACTAAAGAGTCTAGCTCCGGGCACAAGGTTGAGGGAGCTGAGCAGGGCTGCCTTGGGTACTTCGGGAATGTCTCCGAGACTCACACTCGGAATGTGGTTTAGCGTGTACCGCAGGACGGCGCAATGATTTAACTCTACTCCCAGCTGACCTGTCTGCAGGACTGCGCCGGATAACAAGCCCGGAAACACAAACCTGACCAAGTTAAATGAAAAGATCAGGGGTACGAACTGTTCTAGCGTCTACTTGGGGCTCCGGACTCAGGAGCAACAGGAGAGAGAGGGAGTTTTTCCAGAAGTCAACCAGCTCACTTAAAGAACCTTCTCAAAGAACACTCAGCCCCTAAAGACTTCAGGAGCGAGCCTGGCGTCTGCCCTCAGTCAAGATGGCGGCCAAGGCGCCCGCGCGCCAGGGCGCACGCGCACCCCTTCGCACCATCCTCCTCCGGTCCTGCCGATCGCCACCCCTCCCACTCGCCAGCTGCAGCACTCTGCGCGTCCCCAGCCTCACCCCTCTCTGGCGGCCCCCTCCTGACCAGGCTCCCGAGCCCGGAAGTGGATGTGGCCGCTTGGCAGAGAAGACGAGGGGGAGGGAGAAGTGCTTCCGGGGAAACGGGCCCCGGGTTGGTGTTTGTAAACTTGCCTCGGTCCCGGCGCGGGCAGCGGCGGCCGCGAGCTTGGCACCGGGTGCTTAGGGCCTGGAGGAGGCGCCGCGCGGCGGAGGAGACGGCGGGAGGCCGCGCCGGGCAGGTAGGCGCGCACCGCGGGGAGGCAGCGTCGAGCAGGCAGACGGCGGCTCCTCAGCAGCTCGCAGGCCGTGGGGCGCCGCGCGCGAAGGGGGAGGGGAGCGGGGCGGAGGAAGGAGGGAGGAGGGAGGGGGCCGCGAGGGGAGGGCCGCGGCCGCCCCCGCCCCGCCCCCCGCCGGGGTGAGGGGGCTCACTGGGAGGGGACGCGGGCACGAGCACGCAGGTCGCGCGATGCTCTGCTCCGGTCCCGCGCTGCGGCTGCTTGCAGAGAGCGCGCCGGCCCTCCACCTCCGCGGCGGATTTACATACCTTCGCGCGGACTCGGAGTAGCGCTCACGTGTGGGCACTGCCCGTCGGTGTCTACCAGGCACCCCGGCGCTCAGCGGTGGCCCCCGAGCTTCCCTCCACCACGTTCTGCCAGCGTCTGCGGAGTGCCAGCCTTGCAGGCCGGCCCACTCTGCACAAAAGCCCCAGAGGGCCTCCGCCCCCTTCTTCCGTTCCTAAGATGCCAAATCGGAGCCTTTACTCTGTTGGCAGTGTCTCTCCTGAAGAAGACCCAGCTTCCTTTTACTCCTGTTGGCTGCTCTTCCCGGCCCAGGAGGCCAGTTATTTATACTGACCCAGAAAGAATGCACTTGACTCTTGTCCTCCTTTCGAGCTTCAGAGCGCCCAGCAAAATAAGTTGAGCGAGCGTATGGCCTGAGGATGTTGCATTTACGGGCCTCGTCTCCCTTTCTGATTTCAGATTTCCGGAGCAGACCTAGAGCTTCACCAAGAAAATTCAGCTGGGAAACCAAGACGGATAGACTCTCATTTCTTCAGACAATAGGCAGAAGCCACAGACCTCGGATTTTTGCAACACCTGTTTTCCCTTTGGAGGACGCTAAATTCTTTGAGAGGACAAAGGCAGTTCATTATGGCAACTAAACTGAAAGAACAGGAAGGGGCCATTACTGTTCTTCAAACTACCGTGTCTTAAGGAAAGCTGGATAAAGAACTTCTGAACTTTTGGGTTCATTAAGTGAAAAATCAGCATGGCTCAGGTAAAAAGCTCTCGCGTCCTCCTTCAAGACCGCTCACTGGGAAGCCTGTTTGCAGTGTCACTCTTGAATTCTGCCTTAGTCAACAGTGTTGACCATCCCCCAGTGAGCCGAGCTCTGTATTAAGCACCAGGGGGAGATCTAGAGGAAGGAAAGGAGACAGGCCTCCCTGCCTTCAGGGAGCTTCCAGTCAAATGAAGGAGGTAGGCTATACACCACGTCACAGGCACTGATGTCGGTGGGCAAAGCACCTTACACTGTACTTCTGGTACGTGGAGTACTTGGGCATGAGGGAGTGAAGAGCCTGGTGAATGCTTCATTTGTTTTTCTTTTTCAGCAGGAATTTTATTGAGCTCCTGTTACATGCAAGGCATTGTGTTTGGAATACAAAGATGAATAAGATTGTCCTTGTCCCCAGTAAGCTTCCAGGCTAGTTGGGGGGAGGGGGAGGAATGGAAATACAGTCTGTTGTTTATTTTTATGTTCACAGTGCCTTGCATAGTGGCTGGCTGGTAGTAGAGCGTCCGCATCTGTTGACTAAAGGAGTTTGCAATGATAGAGGGGCGCTACTACAAAGTAGTGCTTCTGCCTGAATGGAGAGAAGACGGCGAAACTTGACGGATGCGTAGGGTTCTGCTAGCTGAATGAACAGAGAAGGCCATTCAGACAGAGGGACTGTGTGGGAAAATGGGATGAGGGTCAGGGTATTACCAGTAGCTTGGTTAGGCAGGTAGGGGGCCAGAGGATTAAACGGGGCATCATTAGGGAGAAAGGGTAGATAATGATTGTGGGGGTTGTTTTCTGGAGAAGTCAGCACAGTGTGGCCCAGGGGCTTTTTGTGCCTTTCCTAAAGAGTTAGATGTTAAACAGCAGAGTAGTGTCTTGCAGAAGACAGTTGTCCCTGTGAAGGAGGCAGAGGGAGTGGAAGGACAAGATGGCCAGAGGATCTGCTGTAGTTTTCTGAGGGGATGCTGCTCTGCTTTGAGCGTTCTCTGAGGACAACTACACCAGTCGCACCAGGATGGCAGCCTGGTTGTAGTGGGATTGGCTTGCTTCCAAGTGCTGCAGCGTGCACAGCTTTCTCCTCCCCGCAAAGAAGAGTCTCTGGATTTCGTCTTTCTTACTCCCCAGTACGGTGTTTACTGTTCTGCTAAGCATTTTACACCAGTTTGGTTCTCCCTGACCCTGTGAGGGCAGGCATTCTGACAGGCATTTCACATTTGAAGGAAGCAAAGCTGCAAAGGTAGAGAGGCTCCCAGAATTACACAGCCCAAACAGCAGAGCTAAGGTTTTTAACTTCGGACTTTCTGAGTAGGAAAAGTATGTATTCTGGAGTACTAGTTCAGTAAAGTCAGTTCAGGAACCATTGTGTTAGAATAAGGGGTGATTTCTCAGAGCACCCCTGTTTAATTGACTTTCTTAAACTTTATGTACACTCCAGGCAGTGGCAGCGCCCCCACTTTAATCCCAGCACTCCAGTGGCAGAGACAGGCTGGTCTACAGAGCGAGAGTGAGTTCAAGCGTAGACTCCAAAGCTACACCCCAAAGTCCTGCTTCAAAAACAAAACAAACAAACAAACAAAAACTTTATGTAGTGTATACATATAAGTGGCCTAAGTAAGGCAGAGGGGGTTTGCAGGGTGGGATAGGTATGGTGGTGCACACCTTTTCCCAGCACTAGGCAAGTCTCCGAGTTCCTGGGTCCTGGACAGCCAGGGCTATACAGAGGAACTCTCTAGAAAAAACTAAATAAATAAATAGATAGATAGATAGATAGATAGATAGATAAGTAGATAGATGAATAAATAGATAGATAAATAAATAGCCTAAGTGGTCAGAGAAACTGTATGTTCAACTCCAGAATGAAGGCGATTGAGTTTTTCTGTTTGCTATAACTGACAGCACCTAAGAAATTTAAAAATCTACAGTGAGAAATAACCTGATAGAAATGTACTTGGCACCAGCAAGGTCTGCCCATCTGAAAGTGGCTTTGAATCTGAGCACTGTTGGTGGACACATTGCTCAGTGGTTAAGAGCACTTCTTGTTCTTCCAGAGAACCAAAATTCAGGTCCTAGCACCCACATCAGCCAGCTCAGCTCCCTTCAGCTGCAGGGATCTGATATCCCCTTCGGGTCTCCTTGGGCACTTGCCCACATGTGGCACATACACACACATAATATAAAAAAAAAATAGTAATAAGGGCTGAGAGATGGCTCAGAGGTTAAGAGCACTGGCTGCTCTTCCAAAGGTCCCAGCAACTACATGGTGGCTCACAACCATCTATAATGAGATCTGGTGCCCTCTTCTGACCTGCAGACAGAATACTGTATACATAATAGATAAATAAATCTTTAAAAAAATAGTAATAAAATCTTTTAAAAAGTAGACGAGGGGGCCAGGCTGTGGTGATTTGCACCTTTAATCCCAGAACTCAGGAGGCAGAGACAGGCGGATCTACGGAGTTCAGGGCAAACAAAAGCTACAGAGAAACCCTGTCTCAAAAAACTTTTTTTTTTTTTTAAAAAAGAGGGTATCAAGATGGTTCATCTGTCAGCCTGAGAACCAATCAACCAATTAGATCCCCAGAGAACTGGCTTCCTGCAAGTGGTCCTCTGATCTCCACTATGTTGCTGGCATAGCGTACACAAAAATAAAAGAATTCGGAAGGAAGACATTGCTAGTGATCTCCACTTTCAGTGGGTCAGACAGACAGACCTCATTCCTGTAGTTAAAAGCCCAGAATGCCTTAGGTAATATGTAGCCACGCATACTGTTTAGTACAGTAACCACAAGTGTTGATACTGTGTGATTATTAACTTGATCTGTGTTTCATCCCTACAGGATGCAAAGGGGGCAGTAGTTCTTGGTAAGACAGTAAGGATTTGAAGGAAACAAGGCTTGACAATGAGGGGTTGTTCCGTGCGGAGGAGCAGTTTGTTGCTGGGTGTAGATGGTAGATGTGTTCAGGATAGCAGCCTATTTTTGTCCAGCCCTGCCAGGTGACCTGACACCCCATCTCCTTTCAACTTAGGCAAGTCTTCTGGCTTGTGAAGGCCTAGCGGGTGTGAGTTTGGTTCCCACTGCAGCCAGCAAGAAGATGATGCTAAGCCAGATTGCCAGCAAGCAGGCGGAAAATGGCGAGCGGGCAGGTAGCCCTGATGTGCTGAGGTGCTCGAGTCAGGTACAGCACTTGAGTCCTTTGTGGTGCTTGGGGGTCGGGCAGCCTGAGCTCTGCCAGGAGGCGCCAAGCTGTGGTTCCTGTCCGCTTTGTTGAGAAGTGGGGATCTGGGCCCCAGGTGGGCAAGAATGAGTGTGGGTGTTTGGAGCACTTGTACCTACAAACTCCTAGAGCAGGAAAGGCGAAGAGGAAGTGGATTATGGAGAGGAAGCAGGTGGTATACTCTCCTTTATAAACTGATTGTCAAGAAACAGCATTTGGTTTCTCATCTTGTGTTCTGACATGGACTGTAAGTTTAGATTTGGTTTGTCTTCAAAGGGCCACCGAAAAGACGCTGATAAATCCCGGAGCCGCAAAGATGATGACAGTTTGGCCGAGTCCTCCCATTCGAAAAAGACTGTTAAAAAGGCAGGTAATGGGGTCAGTGCCAGACTCAGACTTTCCTCATCACTGTGGCTCACGTTTTCCCTACTGAATTTGGGCTGTGATTTTACCCAAGGCCACTCTGACAGCCGCTGCCTCCCCTTGCTGACCATTCTGGGACAGGTGGGGAGTGTGCTCTTGGAGCAGGCAGGCCAACCCTACTACTGCATGCTAGCCCTTCTTCCCTTCCTGACTCTTAGCCTAAGTAAGGGATATGACAGGAGACATCACCTTTCACAGTAGCAGACAGAGTCTTTGTCCAGCAGCTGGAACTGGACCTCTAGGAAGAGGGCAGAGAGAAACCTCCATGACATGCCTGATTGTTGCCCCCAGGTGGTGGTAGTGGAACAAAATGGCTCTTTCCAAGTAAAGATCCCAAAAAATTTTATTTGTGAGCACTGCTTTGGAGCTTTCAGGAGCAGTTACCACCTCAAGAGGCACATCCTGATCCACACTGGTGAGTCTCACCTGTACTCAAGCTTGCATGGATGGGGATGTAAGCCGTGTTCCAGGAGGGCGTTAGACATGGAAGCAGAGGATAAGCTGAATGGCGGGGAGGGATTGCATGGCTCCATGTTTGCTGTCACTGAGACCAGCAGTCTTACGTGTTTATGAATGTATGGTGCCTATCATAAACTTTGCTTGGTTCTCACTTGTTTTTAACCTCTGGCCAGGTGAGAAACCATTTGAGTGTGATGTATGTGACATGCGTTTCATCCAGAAGTACCATCTTGAACGCCACAAGCGTGTGCATAGTGGTGAGAAGCCCTACCAGTGTGAACGATGTCATCAGGTAAGGTTTCCTTGTCGTCCCTGGAATAGCAGCACACATAAATTTTCCTTCTCCAGGAAGTAGGGCCAGTCCCTTCCTGGCTGACCAAGGGGCTTCCCCAGTACAGTTAGCATCTCAGAATAAAGCAAACTCGGGCCTTATGGGGCTAATCATAGGGAGTACTTGTTAGAATATCATAACATTATTGTTTATTTTGGTTTGGTTTGGCTTGGGATTTTTTGTTTTATTTTGTTTTCCCTGAGACAGGGTCTCACGATGTAGCTCTGGCTGTCCTGGAACTCACTCTGTAGACCAGGCTGGCCTCAAACTCATAGAGATCCACCTGATAATATCATTTCTTGAATTCCTGATCTATTCCAGGTACTGTGAGGACAAACTTGACATAGAATTTGAGTGCGGCATGTTTTTATCTTGTTATCTCCTTAGGGTAGCTGTGTTATCCTCATTTCACAATAATGGAGAAGTTGAAGTTCAGGGACGTTAACTATCCCCATGCAGCAGGTGAGAGTAGGGCTGATATTTAGTCCAATCTCCGGGCACTGCAGTGCGGAGGAGCGACGCCACCTCTGCCCTGGGCAGGAGATGAGAGTGGCAGTGACTGACATCTGGATGCTCTGCCCAGTCTTACACTAAGGTCCACACTTCAGTGAGTCTTCCGAATGCTAGGCTGAGAGCTGCTGCTGCTGATGGCATGTGACCTCACCCATGTCCACCCTGCACAGTGTGAGCTCTTGTCACAAAGCCAAAACACTAGACTGCAACCCCGTGAGGGACACTGTAATCCCGGCACTCAGAGAAGCCGGACAAGAGGACCACAAGTTCTAGGCCTTCTCAAAGAAACATTTTCCACCCTGTGCTTGGGCCCAAAAGGGTAGACATGCTATGAGAAGCTGTGGTGTGCCTCAGTGCTGAGTCTGGCCGAGTCCGGCAGAGTAAGCGCTAAATATTTGTTGAGTGGAGCGCTACGTTGTGTTGGGTACTCCTTCAGAGAAACAGGGAGGCTCGGGGCTGTTGGGGGATTTGCCCGTTGTCAACGACTAAATGACAGAACCAGCGTTCCACTCTGAGTCCAGACCCTCTCTCCAGCACTGCTTCTTGTTGTTGACTTACATTGCTGTGTACATAGTACAGGGCAGGTGTGGAGGTCAGAGGACCTCCTTCTATTATGTTGGTTCTAGAGATCAAACTCCGGTCACCAGGCTTGGCAACAAGGGCCTTTACCTGCTGAGCCAAATCCTCCTCCTCCCCATCTCCTTTCTTGAGATAGAGTCTTAGGTACTCCACAGTGGCTTCCAGCTTTCTATATAACCAAGGATGACCTTGTATACCTGATCTTCCTGCCTTTGATCAAAGGTCTGCACCACCATGCTCAGTTTCCAAGGCACCGAGGATCAAATCCAGGGCTTCCTGTGTACTAGGCAAGCCTTCTGCCAGCCAAGCTGCATCCCCAGCCACTAGAACCCACATTTGCTTCTTTCTGTTGTTTGAGACAGGGTCTGTCTACATGGCCCTGACTGTCCTATAACTCACTATGTAGACCAGGCTAGCCTCGAACTCAGCAGAGATCTACCTGCCTCTCTGCATCCTGAGTTCTGAGATTAAAGACATGTACCACCACTGTACCCAGCATCATCAGTGTCCTAACCACTGTGCTCTCCTGCTGTGCAGATACTGAGGGAGCAAGAACATAGCATGTGCCTTCTCTGCAAGGAAGGGACCTCCTAAACAGGAGACTGAATTCCTCTTGGAACTTAATCCTCTCTCTTCACAGTGTTTTTCTCGGACAGACCGACTACTCAGACACAAGCGGATGTGCCAAGGATGCCAGTCCAAGACGTCTGATGGGCAGTTTTCTCTATAGGCACAGGGGCCCACCGAAGAGCACACCCCTCTGCTCTGATGGCCCTACCACCACTCCCTCTGAACCTGTCCCCCTTCCTAGAGGAGTGGCCCCAGGTGAGCAGACGAGACCATCAGAGGACAGCGGCTCCAGAGCCTCAGCTCTGTAAATAGTCTGAGACTGTACGACTCTCGGGAGTCTCGACAGCATTCCTGGGCAAGGAGCTGGTCCCGGGACCCTTACCTGAGGACTGAAATGTTCCCACAATCTTGGACTGGAACTGGCAGCTGAAATGAAAAGGACTGAGGAGGGGAATTTGTTTGTTCTGCTCTTGTTTTTGTTTATCCAGAAGCGATTACAGCAGGTAAACAGGGGACACAGATAATCTGGAGACGCAAAGGACGGACTGTGGCTGGCCCAGCCGGCCTTCGGTGGTCCACAGCTCTGTATCTTACTTCCTGTGTGAAAGAAAATAGGACCAGGACTGGCAGCTACGCTTACTTGGACTTGATATACACTGTGCGGACAGAAGGAGAGGCTGGAGGAGCAGTGTGAGCTGACAAGAAGAGTGGGCATCCCATTTTCTCTCCTCATAAGAGCAGTGTTGTGCCCATGGCTGTTGTCATGGTTTGTGCAACGCCAGTGCCTGATGGGGTCAGCTCAAGTGCCTTTTGGAGGAAGCTTGGGTGGGGTAGCCCATGCAGCCCTTTTGTCTGGGAAGTTGGTCTTGGTTGTGGTTTGTGGCTACCTCACTGTCCTTGACAGAGGCAGCAGTTGAGCAGAGAGCTGTGGGTGTCAAGTGGACTGTCCCCTTGTGCCGTCTTAGAACAACTAAGGATAGTGCAGAGTTGCCAACAACTGTTAGAGACGCAAACGTGACGGCCCTGATATGACTTGTGTGATAGAGCCCCTTCCTGCCCAAGTGGCGGTTCAAGTAGTGGAGGTGGAAGTCTGGTCTTCAGTTCCAAAGAACATGAACTTGGCTTCCTCCCTGATAGGCATCCTTACCCAACAAGGTAGAGGATGCTGCAGAGGAAGGAGCCTAATGTCTATTTTATTCTTGACCTTATTCTGTTCCAAACCCCATCTTGTCTACCCCTGAGAAAGTGATGAGGTGCGTGTCTTTGTCTGATTTGTGGGTGCTTTGTGTATTTGCTTGGAAGGGATGAAAATTATTGAGCCAAATTTATTCGGCCACCAACTTAGAGGACAGAAAGCATAGAGCAGCCTCCCCGCCCAGACCTGAAGGGTGCCTGCCTCCCAGAGGTTGCTGAGAACAAGGGAACCAAGGGGGTTTGTTCCAGAAGGATTTTTTTGTTGTTGTTGTTTTTAGACTGATTCAGCAGTACTGCTTAGAGTGTTTCTAAGCCAGGGCTTATGGATACGTATTTTCTAAAGTGAAATAACTCCCTTCCTGCTAAAGAAAGGATCCTTAGGGAGGTTCTGGAATTCCATTGCTCACTGCCCCACGCCAGGGGCCCTACTTCAGGTGCAATCATGGAGATTGACCTGAGCATACATAGCTGTAGCTGTGAGCAGGAGTCTGAGATGGCAGCCCAGACTCCAACAAGTTCTTGCCTAGCAAAGAGGGCCAGGCAGCAACTTTCGGCTATGGCCTCTCTCTTCCAGAGTGTTGAGGGACGGGACATCATACCTCTTGGGTTGAAGTACTTCAGGGAAAAAGAAGGGGAGATGTTTCAACCTTCAGCTTGCCTCTGACACACCTGAGAGCCTTGGTGAGGTCAGAAATGTTCACTGCCGTATGTCCTAGCGTCTTGCTGTCCCTACTGTTAGAAGTTCTCTAGAACCTGTGACCCCTGGGCATCTTTGCGCATCTAAGGCAGACCATTTCATGTCAGAGGGTTCTGCTGGGCTGGGATTTTTCTGTCATTGAACTCTGGGAAAGGATACACTAAGAAAGAAATGCTTCTGGAAATAGGATCCTTCCCTGCTCCTAGAAGATGATCTGTGGGGAGAGGTAGAAGACTGACCGAGGCGTCTCCATGTCTGGATGTATGTACTGGGTCAGAGCAGGCCCTGCAGGCCATGGCTTCCTGCCTGAGTGGAAGCTGTGAGGGAGAGAACTTGAGGATGTGTGTACAGATGGCCCAGCCAGAACCACACTGCCAAGGCCTGGGTGTGAGAAGCCCAGAGGCTGGCAGTGGTAGACAACAGACAGGCTCTGGGGTGAAAAGTAATAGGACACCCAAGGGCCCAGGAACCACAGAGTTAGCACTGGACAGATGTCTCAGGTGTGTGTAGAAAGGGGAATGAAGAGCGGGCAGGTACCCAGAGATCCAGATGTGAAGTGGGGTTGCGTGGGGAGAGTAACACCAGTCCCTGGGTGGCTCCTGTGCAGCCCTGCCATCTGCCCTTGCTGGTGCCTGTCCTTTCCGTCCATCACTCAGCTACTGATTGTGCTCCATGGCTTGACATGGAGGGTTAGATGGGTGGAGTCCCACCACAGCTCGGCCCTCTCCCAGGTTCCTCTGCCCCTGCTGTGGGCCTGGGCTTTTATCTTCAATTCCCCTCCTACCATGCTCCACTTTTTTTTTTTTAAATATACTTATTTTGCTATGGGGGAGGGGACTATCAAATGAACAAGATCACTTTTAAATGGTAGTTTTTATAAGATGTTATAAACTTGTATCTTTTTATCATTAAAGTGCAGTGTATGTTCCTTCGTGTTCTATTTAGGGTATTTAAATAAAAAGAATGGCTTTTCTATATTCCATCTCCTCCTTGAGAAGACCTGTTGGGGCGCATTCTCACCGGAGCCCAGAGTTTCCTTCCCTGATAGGCCTACCCTACAGTTTGCAACAGAACAAACTATCCTGTTAAAACAGTGTTTTTTTCCCATAGAGAATTAACAAGTAGAGGCAAAAACATACCTTTTTTTTTTTTTTTTCTGAGAAAAAGGCTCTCAACAGCCTGACAAGATGTGGTCTGACTCCTATCTAGGTGAGGTCCTTTTAGAAGTTGGTGGGTGACTCCAATTTCAGCATCCCCTGAGATTCCACTGGCCCAGGTGCTCCCAGGTCACACTACAGAAGCACACACTTGTCCTCCAGTAACCTGAGACCTAGGCTAGGCAGTTTGCTTTTCTTGTCTTGAGGTGAAGCAAAGTGGAGGCTGTAGTCTGAGGTTAAGACTTTATTGTGGGCAAACCCTTCATCAGGTGGGGGGATTGGTTGCAGCAGTGGGAAACAGCCCTCTGAAGGTCACTGAAAAAAACTGATGACCCCTCAACAGTGGTGCCAGACTGCCCCCGGCAGACCCTGCTTTGCTGTCTGCCAAGACAAGAGTCCTAAGTGAGTCTGCTGCCTGGGTCAGAGGGACCAGAACCATTTGTCCCTTGGAAGCGGGGGTTGATGGTGGTTGTGATGGCACTTTTGTAGAGAGGATTGTTGTCCTGTGGGAAAACATTGCAAACTGTAAAAAAAAATATCAGGCTCTCCCCATTACCTAGTCCTGTGAGGCCGATCTGGAACTTAAGCCAGATCCTAGAAGGCCTAGTTATGCTGCAGGAGGGCCTTTAGTAGGGGAGCCCGTGGCAATAGGACCTGGCCTCACCTGCTTCCAGTTGAGCTGCTGTCTCTCCTTCTCAAAGCGGCTGTACTCGCGGCGATCATAAATTTCCACGGAGAGCCGATAAGCCAGGACTAACCCTAGTCCCACTGCCACAATGCCACCTATGCAGCCCAGTATGATGGCACGGGTGTGATCTGCTCCTTCTGGTGGGGTCAAGGTATAGGAGCTGATCATAGTTACCCAAAAGGTGTCCAGCCTCCCCAACCCTGTCACTGTAAATAGGATCCAACAGAGCCCAGAGTCCTCCTTCCTGGGGCCTTTGCCGTATGTTGAGGGAGCGGCGAGGCTGCATCCCCGGCACCCGGCCGCCCACATGGCTAGCTTATGCCCGAAATAATTACACGGAAACTGTATTCTTTTAAACACTGCCTGGCCCGGCTAGTTCCAGTTTCTTATTGGCTAGCTCTTACATATTAATCTAACCCATTTCTAATAATCTGTGTAGCCCACGAGCTGGCTTACCAGGAAAGATCTTAACCTGCGTCTCTGGAGTGGGAGAATCATGGCGACTCCTGATTAAGCTTCTTTCTCCCAGCATTCTCTTCTGTTTACTCCACCCACCTATGGGTTGGCCTATCAAGGGGCCTAGGCAGTTTCTTTATTAATAAGAAATCACTCCCACATCAGCCTAGGTTTACAGCTCTGCTTCATGCACATCCCCAGGTCTGAGGTTCCGCCTACTTACTCTCTTGGGGTCTCACTCTCAGTATGACTCCTGCAGCCACATTCTCCACCAGGAAGAAGAACAGCTGGTTGTCCAGTGTCCTTTCTTTGCACCAGCCATCATCCAAATTAGGAGCCAAGGCCACCGTCACGTTCACACCAGCACAGGCCATACTGCAGTTGGCTGCCAGGGGACCAGTGCCAAAGGCTCCACATTCTGCACAATCCCTGTCCAGTGAATGCCAATGAGTTCCCATCTGGGCAGCTATTACTACTAGCCCTCCCCCCACACCCTCAAGGAGAACACACAGGCAGTTTACTGTGCCCCAGCTCCCGAGATAAAGACCCGAGGCCTCACCTGTGCCGCTCACATGGTGACTTGCAGCCGAGGCACTGGTCACACAGAGCCCCATAGTAGCCATCCTGGCACTGGCAACGGTTGCACCTGCAGTGCCCATGCCCGCTGCAGAGCTCTCCTTTGGGACTGACACAGCTGTCCACGTTCTCACTGCACTCACATGCTCTGCCCGTGCGGTTGGCGTGACAGTGACACACTCCACACTGGCAGTGTCCAAAGCCTGGGGACGAGTCATGCACAAGGTGACCACCACTCTCACACAGCTGGCCCAACATCTCGACTGTGCCAGGCACATCCTGTAACCTTTGAAATTTGCCCTGGGCTCTCCTACCCCTGCCTCCCCCAAGACTCGAGGTACCTCCACAGAGGATGCCCTCATGTCGCTCACAGCTGGCATCATCACACTCGCAAAGACGCCCAGAGCTCTGCCCACTACAGCTGCAGCGTCCACATTGGCACCGTCCCTTCCCGCTGCATAGGGGCCCTGTCCCATTGGGGGCCCGGCAACCAGATTCCAGATCTGGGGACGACAGTTCAGCCTCGGAGCATTCACA